AAGCACATGAGACCAATCACAGATGCACCTGTTGCATTCCACAGCAGCAGATAATTATTGTTTACATTTTATTCCTGAGGCCTCTCAGCTTCTCAGGAGAAAAAATCTTAACAAAAGGATTTTTCATAAAACATGCCTGTGACACCTGCCCATGATAGAATGGTGGACGTGATGATCTCTGAGGTTCTTTCAACCCAAACCATTCCATGATTCCATGATTTTAACATCTGGATGGGAGGGACAGTAGTATTTGCTCCAAGGACAGTGTGTTTGAGCTCTGCTATGTTCACTTTTCTTTGCACTTTGGCTAATGGCTCAGCCATAACTCCCTGCAGACTTTTTGTGTGGAGTTTTTTGCTGTGGAGTTGCCGAGTTTTATTAAACTTACCCCATTTATGGGATGGTATAGGGCTGAGGGTATCTGTAGGGCAGTGTGGGGTGTGTGCACAGGGGGAATAGGACCAGGTAGGTGTGTGGGGCAGTATGGGGTAGGTGTGTGGGGCAGTATAGGACCAATACAGTGGGAGAATTAATCTTTTAAGGCCCATTATGCCTTAAAAATGTGATTTCATGGCAGATAATTGCAGCCAGAGGGATCCTTCCAGCAGCACCTGCCTGACGAGGTGCTGAGTTTTTCTGTCAGAGAGGAAGGGAGCAGACAGCAAGGGGCTCCTTTTGAGATGGTGACAAGCTGGTTCCAAGTTCCCCTTGGTGTTCCCTTGTCCCCACAGGCATCAACACACTGGTGGGCTACGACCTGGTCCCGGAGCCCAAGATCATCGACGCGGCTCTGCGGGCCTGCAGACGGTTAAATGACTTTGCCAGCGCTGTGCGCATCCTGGAGGTTGTAAAGGTGGGTGGGACTGCCCTGTTCCTATGGCCAGAGCCTGCCAACAGGGCAGTTCTCCCTGCTGCAAAGGGAAACTGCCATCAGTGGCTCCATGGTGAGCACAAAGCTTGCTGGTTTCTTGGAGGACTGAGAGAAGTAGCTCAGAAAGCTCTCTTGGGGATCACCTGAAACCAGCTCCTTGAAACCTGAGTCCAGCCTGGCCAGGGAGTTCAGAGAAGCCAGGACTTTTATTTCAGCCCTAGAGGAGCTCTGCTCTGCCACAGGCAGAAGTGGGAGGCTTTGGAAATGTGTGTTTTGAAGTAACTCCATTCTTTGTTTTTTGGGGTTTTTTTTTCAGGACAAGGCAGGACCCCACAAGGAAATCTATCCTTACGTTATCCAGGAGCTTAGACCAACTTTGAGTGAACTTGGAATCTCCACTCCAGAGGAGCTGGGCCTGGACAAAGCATAAACCTTGTTGGTAAGATTTGGTGTTGCTTCCCAGGCTCTTGGCATGGGAGTCCTGTACACCAAACCCCGTGGCAAAGACAGCATAGGCAAGACCTAATGTGCCCTAATCCCAGACTAAAATAAAGCCCTAAATAAAAATCCTCATGGAAGTGAAGCCTCTTAACTCAGTTTCCTCAGGAGAGGACCAGTGTCATATTCTTTTTTTGAATATTATGCCAAGAATAGAGATGCTGTGTGTCAGAGTGCTGCAAATAGTGCTTGATTCTGGATATTTTAAGTCCTTTTCCTCCTCCTTGCCCTGGGGTCCTGAATCAGCTGTGCTGGGAGTGCATTACCACATTAACATGCTTAAACAAGGCTTTGAAGGTAAAAGGGATGGAAATAACTCATTTGGGACCTCATGGAAACTTTGTGGAGCTTCTAGGCTGCTTCTTTAATGTTTTTTTTTAATTTTTCCCCTGTTATTTTCTATGCCAGGTGGATCACTCAAGCGTTCTGCTGATGGCACAGATTGTACACTGTCACTTGGAGACACAAACTTTAAATCTTACTTGACATAACTTCTTCCTTTATTGAGTCACAGTGGAAGTGCTATGGAGTTGGGCCTAATAAAGGAGAAACTGGTTTGACTCATGTGGTACCAGTGCCTTGTGTGGTCATTTCCTGTTGCTTTTGTAGGGAAAAACAAGGAACAAACCACAAATGTGCTCGTAGGAGCTTCTAAATTGTTATTTAGTCTGCAAAACTCATGTCCAGAGCCTTCCCAAGCAAGTGGCTCTGGGAGGGGAAGAGCAGGAGCTGTGTGGAGAGCATGGTTCCTGTATGCACAGCTTTGGGGAGGAGGCATTTCCCTGAAATCATGTCCAAAGCTTCAGGTGTGGGATGGGGGCTCCTGTTTGCAAGGGTGGTGTCCTCACCAGGAAGGGGATCTGTTCTGGGGTAGATACTGTCCCTGTTTTCCACTCAGCTCTGGCCCAGGCACGGGTTTGGGAAAGAAAATAAACCAACAGAAGCAAGTGGGAGGAGAAGGGAAATACCTTAATTCTGTTACTTTCCTCCTAGAAGAGGGGAATTTTTTTGGAAAACAGGAATTTGTTTCTGCACAGTGGGCTCAGGGCAAGAGCCGTGTTGTGTCCCACAGTCCCATCCCATCCCACTGTTTCATCCATTGTAAGCCTTTTTCAGTTCCTGTTCCTTTCTCTTTCTTTTTAGATGTATAGAAAGGGTGACATACAGGAATGTGCCCCCTGTTGATGGAGTGACAAAACTATCCTCTGTCCCCTTAAAAAGGAAAGAAGCTCAGAAGTTTCACTCGATTATGTGAAAGAGGCATTTCATAATCCTGGGGGACTTCACCTCAAACTTAAGGACAGCCACTGGGATAGGAGCCAAAAAGTCCCACCTGAGCAATTTACTAGAAAAATAAGAGAACAAACAAACTAATGTTTTTTGTTGAGTGTTTTACCAGGAGCAAGAACCTCTCGCACCTGGCTTGGTTTTTCTCTGTAAAGAGTTTATTATTTTGCCTTTTATTAAACATTTTTGTTTCCAACACTGCAACACAAGCTATCCAGCTGATTTTAGGCCTCCAAAAGTAGCTGAGCTATCTTGGGTGTGAAATAGACCACCAAGAGCTTATGGCTCGAAAAGACTTCTATTTCAATCCATGGTCCTATCCCGCCGTTCTGTCCTACCCCGTCCCGCTCTCCAGTCCCATCCCGCGGTCCTTTCCCGCATGCGCGGCAGAGGGGCGCGCCCTTTCCCCGCCTCCCATTGGCTGAGCCCCGCCGGCCCCGCGCTGCCATTGGCGGGCGGGCTATGGGGCGGGGCCAGGGGCGGCCATGGCGACGGGCGGCGGCGGAGCCGGGCCGGGTCCCGGCGCCGGTCCCGGTGCCGCTACCAGCGGAGCCGGCGGCCGGCGGGGCCCGGGGGTACGTGCGGTGTACGGGCACGGGTGTACGATGGGAGTGCGGGGCTGGGAGGGGTATGTGCATCGTGGGTATGGGGCTGTGTGGGGTGTCTGTATCGTGGATATGGGGCTGTGTAGGATATCTGTATGGGGCTGTGTGGGATATCTGCGTGGGGCTATGGGGCTGTGTGGGATATCTGCACGGGGTTATGGGGCTGTGTGGGATATCTGTATGGGGCTGTGGGGCTGTGTGGGATATTGCATGGGGCTGTTTGGGGTATCTGCATGGCGCTATTGGGTTGTGTGGGGTATCTATGGGGCTATCAGGCAGGGGTGGGATGTCTGTATGGGGCTGTGTAGGATTTTTGTATGGGGCTATGGGGCTGTGTGGGGTATCTGTATGGGGCTATGGGGCTGTGTGGGGGTATCTGTATGGGGCTATGGGGCTGTGTGGGATATGTGCATAGGGGGTATGGGGCAGGGGTGGGATATCTGCATCATGGGTATGGGGCTGTGTGGGATACGTGTATGGGGCTATGGGGCTGTGTGGGGTATGCGTATGGGGCTATGGGGCTGTGTGGGGTATGTGTATGGGGCTATGGGGCTGTGTGGGATACGTGTATGGGGCTATAGGGCTGTGTGGGATATCTGTATGGGGCTATGGGGCTGTGTGGGGGTATCTGTATGGGGCTGTGTGGGGTATGTGTATGGGGCTATGGGGCTGTGTGGGGTATGTGTATGGGGCTATGGGGCTGTGTGGGATACATGTATGGGGCTATGGGGCTGCGTGGGGGTATCTGTATGGGGCTATGGGGCTGTGTGGGATATCTGCACAGGGCTATGGAGCTGTGTGGGTTATGTGTATGGCAGCTATTGTAGGGCACTATAGGGTGTGTGCACAGGGGTTATGGGGCTGGGGGTGTCTGTAGGGCAGTGTGGGGTGTGTGCACAGGGGTTATGGGGCTGGGGGTGTCTGTAGGGCACTGTGGGGTGTGTGCACAGGGGTTGTGGGGCTGGGGGTGTCCATGGGGCACTGTGGGGTAGGTGTGTGGGGCAGTATAGGAACAACACTGTGGGACAGTTCATCTTTCAGAGTTGCAGACAGGGAGGCACAGTACTGTAGAGTGTATAAATATAAATATACAAATAAATATATATATATGTGCACACACAGAGGTGTATCAGCACAGCATCAGCTGGCCAGGAAGGGGTATGGCACATCCAGAGGGATCTGGGGGGGCACTGCCTGTCTGGTCATTCCCACCATAAAGCTCTGTCCTGCTAATTCCAGCTTAAGACACTGAGGCTAATCCTGGCCATGCTCTCCAATCACCATCCCCAGTCCTCTGCCCTGTTCCTTTAATTCCATGTCCCTCCTGTGCCAGCTCTCTCTGATTTTCCCTCAATTTTATTCATTACTTCTTGTGTTTGTGGAGGTTTTATCCTCCCCCTTGCCCTTAGGAGCGTTGGTTCTCCTTGACAATAACTGGAAAAAAGGAGAAGCTTGGAAGGCTCAACCCCCAACTTAAAAATACACAATCCTTACATTTGTGTTTGATTAACCTCTCAGTAAATCTCCTCCACCACCTTTTCCCAGGTATTACTGCAGCCAGGCTTGCATAGGAACTGATGGTGACTACCTGTTCTTTTTTATTAGCATCACCATTCCCAAATAATCCTCTCATCTGCTATCAGATCTGCTTATTCCTTTTCCTCTCCCTCCTCCTGGGCTGGGGAGGAGGAGCTGTCCCTGGGGACAGATTTCCCTGGGGACAGATCTCCCTGCTGACCTTGAGCTCCCAGGAAGGATCAGATGCTCTGAGAGGCCTCTGCTTTATTTCACCCCCGTGGAGAGGTGCTAAATGATTCTTCCACTCTTTTTTTAACTGGTTTGGGCTGAAAAGAAGAGGCTGAACAAAGGGACAGATGTGGTGGAGAAAAGAGGTCCATACATCATGAGCAAACCTCCCTCCATCCAGGCCAAGCTGAGTAAGTGATGCTTGGTGCACTCTGCTGGGATTTTGGGTGTCATTCCCACCTCTCTCCCAGAGCTGGGGTTACCAAAAGCCCTTTAATTCCTTGGTGGGATAAAACCTTTATAAAAGCTCACCTGCACCACCCTCCTCACCCATTCCCCACAAGAAGAACCCCTTTGGGAGCACTTGGGGATTTTTGTCTCTGTCCCTGTGCTTGGCTTGCAGAGAGGCAGCGGGAGCTGGCAAAGGCAGCGCTGCGAAGGCAGGGGCTGCTGGGGGCACCCACTGCCCTGAAACCAACTCCTAAAAGGTCTGATCCCCTCCTCTTTTCAAAATGCCTTCTTCACTTTTCTTGGGGACACTGGGAAACTCAGAGGATTTTAAAGAAGAGTTTGGGACCTTGTTCTGCTGGCTCTGTTTGGCCAGGAACAGCCAGTATAATAAAATATACTGCTTTTCTCTTCTCTGTTTTGGGGATGATTTGGTGGTATGGATTTATTTGGGTGTCCTGGGGTTTAGCTGGTGGTGGGAAGGAGTGGGATTCCTGCCCTGGCTCCTCAGCCTGTCAGCTCCATGGATGTGTTTGCACATAAAACATCTGTGCTTGTCTCACTCCTGTGTTTCCTGGCAGGTCTGTGAAGTTCAACAAGGGCTACACAGCACTCAGCCAGACAGCTGATGAAAACCTGGTCTCCCTCGACTCAGACAGGTGAATAGCCCAGGATTTTGGGTAAATATCCCACGATTTTGAGGGTGGGGGTGCTCCCAGGTGGCTTTTTGGGGGGTTGATTTTCCTTGTCACTTGTAGAGCATCCCTGATGGCACTGGGCACCTCATGGCAGCGAAACGCTCCTGCTGTTCCAGATTTCAAATACTCATTGGGGTGGCACTGCCAGCTCCTTTTTCCCCCAAATTCCCCTTATCTGCACCCTACAGCCCCCATTTCCTGCCCAGCTCTGTTTCTTTTCCCCTCAGTGACGGGGAGCCAGGATCCAGGTGTTCCTCGGGATACTCCTCCGCTGAGGCAAGTGCGGGGCTCTGACTGTGACACTGTGGGGTCCCCAGGGGCTCCCTCGTCCCCCCTGACCACTCGAGGCTCTGGCTGGGGCTGGAAGCATCACCCCCAGGGCGTGGATGTGTGTGCATCCTGCAGAGCTCTGCTTTGTCCCCTGCAGCAGGTGACCCAGGACATGAGCCGGCAGCTGCTGCAGGACGGGTACCACCTCGACGAGGTCCCCGATGATGAAGACCTGGATCTCATCCCCCCAAAACCTGCTGCCTCCTCTTCTTGCCCCTGCTGTTTTGGAGAAAATTTCTCCTGTGTGATCCAGTAGCTGCACAAGAACAGGTCAAAATCCAGCACTTTCTTTGTCCCGTGGGATGGCTGGTGGGTGTCCGGGTCCCACGCCAGGACGGTGGCACAAGGACTGAACGATGCTGCTCGTGGCAGAGACCAGCTGACTCCAAAAGACTTCTCCTTACACTCAGCAATACCAGGGGGAGGTGGCACAGTGACATTCTGGTGACCTGCATGTTACCTGGCACTTGGCTGGGGTGGGAAGGGAGGACAGGCAGGGCCTGGCACCTCCCCGGGGTTTAAAGGGAAGGATTTGGGAGTTTCTGGGGTTGGAGCTAATGGCTTATTCCCATTCTCCTCAACGCTGCTTTGATGCAGGTGAGGCACAGCCCAGGCCCCCCATCCCAGCTCTGCACAGGGCTTGGATTTGGGGGGCTGGAGATCCTCCCTGCTGCAAACCATAAACGCTGCCTTAAACCATGGTCCTGCTCTATGACATAGAGGACAATCAGCTTCTTATACAGAAACCTTATTTAAATATTTCATGTCAAGAGACATGAACTGGTTGGGTGGGGGGCATGTTTGTTTGTTTGTTTTTGTATCTTACTTGTAAAAGGGAGCACTTAATAAACTGGATCTCATTACTCAGAAGGGGTGCTGTGAGGGGGACTCCTGTGTTCTCTCATCACATTTTACTCTTTTCCTGTGCCTGAAGAGCAAGGGGGGGAATCACAGCCAGCGTTGGGGGGATGCTGGAGCTGCTCCCAGCCTCTCTGTCCCCCTCCATCCTCCTGCTCCCTCCACCACGCTGCCCTTCGCCAGGGACAAAGTCACTTCTTTATTCACAGCAGCAGAGGCTCTCCTGCTCCATCATCCCCCAGGCAGCCTCCTTTTACAGCCAGGGAAGGGGGACACTGGCCAGGCTTGGGAAGAGCCCACCAGCAGCAGCAGAAAGCCTGTGGTCTGCACCACCTCCAAGAGGTCAATCCACAGAGCTGCTCTTTCTACGCCTCAGGGCTGCTCTGGGGGTTTAACAGGTGGAGGGAGACCTTTCAAGCGAGAAGACTTTGCCCACAGCAGTTTCTATCTACCCAAACATGGAGTGTCGTGGTGGAAGTGTCCCAGGTGCTGCTCAGAGGAGGCAGCAGGCTCGGAAGAGCAGCATCCCCTCGGGTGAGGAGAGGTGCAGGGAGATGCTCTCGTTGGCCGACACGAAGAGCACGGAGCCACGGCGCAGGGACATCTCTGAGGCTGCTGCTGTGGAGGTGCCCACGGCTGTCCCTTGGATCACCAGCAGGATGCTGGCAGAGTCCATGGCAGAGATGAGGTAGAGCTTGATGGAGGCAGGGATCTGCCAAGGGAAATGTCACTGTGCTGGGGTGTCCCTCAGCTTTGCACATCTCTGCAGAGATGGAAGGGGCTTGTCCCCACTCCCACCCCTTTGCTGGGCCTGCAGCAGCCCAAGCCCAGGGACCTCCTCCTGTTCTCCCTCTGCCCAGAGCCGCTGGAGAAGGTGAACAAGCTCTAGGGAGGGATAAAGAGACCAGCACCCCATTACGCCCAAAATCACTCCCACCCTGCCAGGACACTGATTACACAGGTGAGCGAGCCCCAGCCAGCGCTGGTGTGTCCCACCCGGTGTCCCCAGCACGGAGCTGTCACCTCTCACCTCTATCCTCATGATGGTGAAGTCTGGCACGGGTGGGTCGTAGAGGTAGACGTGGGGATCGAGCTGGCTCTGCGCTGCCGGGAGGATCTTGGAGCTGCTGGGTGCTGGTGTGTAGTTGAGCATCTCACACAAGGTGAGCACATCGATGAATTTGGGCGTGAGCCCGGCGCGCACCGTGTTGTCCGAGCACGCCATCACCTCCACGCAGTCTGCGGGGACGGGGCAGCGCTGTCAGCCCAGCCCAGCCCTCAGCCCAGCCCAGCCCTCAGCCCAGCCCAACCCAGCCCAGCCCAGCCCTCAGCCCAGCCCAGCCCTTAGCCCAGCCCAGCCCTCAGCCCAGCCCAACCCAGCCCAGCCCTCAGCCCAGCCCCTCCTCCTGTCCCCACGGCCAGGCCTTGCAGGATGCCGGGCTGGGAGAGCCCCCCGATGCTCACCTCCGTGCAGGTAGGCGTGGGGCTCGTTGGCTCCCAGGAACATGGCCTCGCCTGGCTCCAGCCTCACCAGGTTCAGGAAATAGATGGTGAAGCAGCCGATGTCCCCCGGGTACTGGGAGTGCAGCCGCAGCAGCAGCTCCCCGTTGCTGCCCGACGTGTCCTTCCCTTCTGCCGCTGCACAGGACAGACCGGGCCCAGTGTGGGGAGAGCCTCTCCCCAAACACAGCCCCCCGAAGTGGTTTGGGGTGTCCCAGCCAGCACCCACCTTCCTGGGAGATCCTCTTCACCAGCATGTTCAGCTGGTCCACAAAGAACTTCTTCTCGCTCTTCATGAGGCGGGTGAAGCACACGCGCAGCGCGGCCGAGACCCCGCGCGGGTCATCGCTGCCGCTGCGCTCCAGCTGCTCCGCGGCCACCTCCCCGATCAGGGCCCGCAGCTCGGGGACATCTGCGGGGCCAGCGCCGCTCAGAGCCGCCCCAGGCCAGGGGAGAGCAGCACCCCCATCCCAGGAGAGCACTGTCACTGTCCCCACAGCGAATCCCATCCCTGGGAGCGCTGCCCGCACCCTGAACCCAATCCCAAGGGAGCATGGCCGCCATCCCCACACCAAACCCCATCCCAAAGGAGCAACGGTCCTCATCCCCACCCAAAGCCCATCCCAAGGGAGCAGGGCCACCATCACCATCTCAAACCCCATCCCAAAGGAGCAGGACCTTCATCCCCATCCTAAACCCCATCCCAAGGGAGCACAGCCCCCATCCACACCCCAAACCCCATCCCAAGGGAGCACAGCCCCCATCCCCATTCCAAACCCCATCCCAAGGGAGCAGGGCCACCATTCCCACCCCATAGCCCATCCCAAGGGAGCATGGCCACCATCCCCATTCCAAATCCCATCCCAAGGGAACAGGGCAATCATCCCCATCCCAAACGAGCATGGCCACCATCCCCACCCCAAAGCCCATCCCAAGGGAGCACAGCCCCCATCCACACCCCAAATCCTGACCCAAGGGAGCATGGCCACCATCCCCATGCTAAACCCTAACCCAAGGGAGCACGGCCACCATCCCCATCCCGAAGCCCATCCTAAAGGGAGTATGACCACCATCCCCAACCCGAAGCCCAGCCCAAGGGAGCAGGATCACCATCCCCACTCTGGGGTCTGACCATGCCCCCTCCTCCAGCCTTACTCTGGAGGAAGGAGACAATCTCCTCCACGGGCCGGAAGCCACACATGCCCTCGAAGGGGGTGAGGGCGATGGCCATTTCGGGCTTGTGGTTGGCATCAGGATAGTGCTCAGGGAACTGGGCGTGGAGCTTCGCTGCCAGCTCCTACAGAGAGGGGACAGGAGCTGCCTGAGTCCCCAGGACATGGGGCCCAGCTGGGCTGCCCACACCGCGCTCTCCCTACCTTGTTGGGGTGTGCCTGGACAGACAGGGCGGTGTTGACCGACAGCACCTTGAACAGGAAGGGCAGGTGTCCCTGGAAGGCGTCCTTCACCTTGGCGCCCAGGCAGGCGGGGTTGTCGGCGATCCACTGGCCCAGGGTCTTTTGGGGGATGCGGTTATCCCGGATGAGGGCATCGCCCCGCGGGTGTGTGCCCATCCACAGCTGCCAGACACCAACACACACAGCTGGCACCCCGAGCCGGGCAGCCAGCACGGATGACTTGGGCTTTTCCAGGGAGGTGATCCCTGGCAGCTCCCTCGGGGGCTGAGTCATGCCGGGCTTCCCTCCAAGCCAGGGGGACACCGGACAGCTGAGGGGCAGCACCGTGTCCCGCTAGGACACAGGATGGAGAGAGCCAGCACGGCCGCGGGGTGGGATGGACACACGGATGGGACGGACACACGGACAGAATGGACACACAGACACACTCACCTCAGCGTAGGGCAGGTCAGGCTGGATCTGGACCAGGGGGTCACCGCTGGCCACCAGCTTGGCCACCTCGCTCTCCAGGCCCACCTTCCCCCAGGAATAGTTCTGCACCGCGCAGGACAGGGGGAACACTGCGGGAGGGAAGGCAGGTGTTAGCGGGGCACCGAAAGAACCCCCAGAAATCCTCCCGGACACGCACGGAGCCCGCGGGGCAGGGTGACAGGATGGCAGGGAGGGAGAGCACCACGGCCTTGGCAGGGGACACTCTGTGGGGACGATCTGCAACCATCACACGGCCATCTGGGGGTGCCCGGGCTAGGGGCGCGGCTCACGGGCCCTGCTCCCCGTGGCCCTGGGGGGTCCCGGAGGGGGTGCCGGTGTCGCATCGCGGAGCCCATCCCCGGGCGGGCGGGCGGTGGTGCCCGGTGCCCGTGCCCCGCTCACCGCGGATCTCCGCCATGGCTCTGCCGGGCAGGACCTGCCCCCCCTCCCCTCACCGCCCCCCCGCCGCCGCCACCGCCGCGCCTGACGTCACGCGGCCACGCCCACAGGGTTAACCCCGCGCGAGCTGTGCGCGCCGCCGTGACGTCACGCGGCTCCCGGTCACGCGGGTGCCCCGGAAGCGCCAGGAGCGGCGGCGGGCGGGAGCGGAGCAGGAGCTGGACCGCGCCCATGTCGGGCTTCGACACCAACCCGTTCGCCGACCCGGTGGACATCAACCCCTTCCAGGTGGGCGCGGGTTACGGGTGCCTCTCCCGGCGCGGCGCGGCCCGGTCGGGGCCCCGTGCCCCGCACGCCGGGACGTGGCACTGAGTGAAGCGCCGCCGGCCAATGGCGGAGCCGCTCCTCCGCACCTCGACCAATCAGAGCGAGGGGGCGGGACCAGGGGGGGCGTGAGGCGGCCGCGACCCCCGGCCCTGAGGGCGGCCTGGAGCCGAGCCCTGGGTCCCGCTCCCGGTCCCTGCACCCCCGTCTGCCGCGGATCACCGTGCCATCTCCTCCCCTCTCTGCAGCCCCTTCCCCTGCGCCGCCTCCGCCTGGGATCCCGAACCCCTTCCGCAGTGCTGTGACCCCCCCGGTCCCTCCCGCTGTGTCCCCGCACCCGGCTGCTCTCACCTCGAGGAGGGCTCTCCCACCCAGCTGGGAATGCCTGCTCTGAGGGTTTATTCAAAATAATCCATCGCTGGAGCTCTCTCGGCCGTGCTGCGTGCTGGGCTCGTTGTTCTCTGAGTCTCTCTGGGTTTAAGGCGGTTCAGCTTTAAAGTGAGTTCCCGTGGCAAAGCTGTGGATTTCGTGGCTCAAAGCAGAGGATTGCTGTTAAGGTCGCTGAGGACTCGGTGTGTGCTCGCTGGGTTTCTCCTCTCTGGGATTAACCTCTGGAAGTTGGGGTCACTGATGCCGGGAGCTGGCCTGGCACGGCCTCTGTGTGACACTCAGGGTCTGGAGCCCAGCCACACCTCCGCTGCTTGTCTGGGATGTGAGCACAGCAAAAAGTGTTTTCCTGACCTTGGATCTCAGGGCTGAGCCAAACAGGAGTTGTTTGTTGATAGAGCTGAGTCTTTTGAGGAATCAGAGTGAAAAAATTATTTTTCTTCCTCACTTTCATTTTGACACGGTCCCGTGACTCTCAGGAATGGGAAGAGTTGGTATGATCGTGTTCCTCTGGTGTTCATTCTGGGGGATGAAATATATTGCTGTTCATGGACGTGGGATTTGTTGCCTTGGCTTTGAGGAAGTAAATATTCCTAGAATCACAGAGTGCTTTG